GTTAAGCAAAAAGACGAGGACCACTATTTACCTTTGCTAACACTTAATATTGGTTTAGTTTCTAAATTTCCACTTAAATGCACTTTACTTGTTTAGGCATAATAGCCAATCTTAAGTAGTTTATTAAGTAATCATAATAGACAATCTTAAACATATTAGCCTCTGGACGAAAGGGGATTTGCATTATAGGTTGTCATCAAGGATATATATCTTCGTGATACTATTCCCATCAATATGTACCGTAACTTTGTAACATTTTCTGTAGCGACCTGAATATGCAAACAGTTTGCAGTACTGTGACAATACAAAGAAATTGTTGCTCGTGTTTGTTAACGATTTTGAAACTATATATGATACAAACCAGCTCATATATAATACACATTCTGTCATTCATTTGCCACAAGATTATAGAAACTTTGGAGGACTAGATAGAATATCATTATTTCCCTTTGAAATTTTTTTGGGTCAAATAAAAAAAATGGTGAGAAACCCTCAGAATCCAATTGCTCAAATAATGAGACGTTATTATGAAAAAGACTGTATCTTCTTGAATGCAGAAAATACTAGCACTATTCAACAAAATATGCCTTAAAAAAAACATTATACAGATCCTGTTCCACAAAACTTCTCTCAAGAAAGTTTTCAACAATATAAACATTTGAAAACAGATCATATTTTTGTTTCATCAACAGTTAGCAACAATTGCATTAAAATTCTAGGGAGGCTGTCAATTGTCAAAATTTATTGCAAACATCAAAAAATGATACATTCATTATTTACAACGAATTCATTTATTTGGAACCATTTTTTATTTATCCATTAAATTCTGCTCATTTGGAAATATTTTTAGCTGCTCATTTAACCACAGATCTAAAGTTTGTACGGTCTAAAAAGATTAGAAAAAAGTTTGCCTTTATGCCTTTAGGTGATAACTTTGTTCTTATGTCTTTGTTACATTAAGAATAAATTTAGTAAGTATGTATTATTTTTATAATATTTATAAAATAATTAACATTATATAAGGAATATTTTCAAAATATAAATAAAATAAGAATTTTTGAAATAAAAATAAAATAAGGATTGTTTAAAAATAAAGTTATTTGCATTCTGGAAAAGTAGTAAAAATATTTTCAGTGCTTTTTATTCTGATTGTACATTTTATTTACGTTATTTGTTCTGATTGCACTTGTAGATTTCATATATGCATATTTTATGTATTTTATATGGTTCTGGTGACAAGATTTTGATAAACTTCTTTCAGATACCAAGTTTATTTATTGTTATATTGTAATCACGATTATATATTATTATTATTATAACGATTATTAAGTTGTAAACTAAAAATAAAAAATAAAAAAGTCAATATGACTAATAATTCTTACGGTTATTAATTCTTGTAGACCAAAAAATTTGTGTCTAATGCCTCTTTAACATAGCTGAATGCATATAAAAAATCTGGCAACGTTTTTTTTATTATTACAAAGTTCTTTGTAAAATTTATTACATTTTAGAGCGTCCTTAATTCAATTAAGTGGCGTAATGTATAAATCCTCAAAATTTATAATAATCCTCAATAAATTATATAAATTAGTTAGAAAATATAACGTATTTTATTGTAATATCATCGCTGATATAGTATTAATTTTTTTAACTGTGGAATCAGATATAGAATTTAAACCGTGGAAATTATTACAACAATATTTAATTAAATATTTATTTATTGTATTAATATTGTATTATAATATATAATACATAATATTAATATTGTATTATAATATATTTATTGTATTATTTATTGTATTATAATATATCATGTATTTAATATTTATATCCATTAAATATTACTATATTTCAAATATAAGAAATGACTCTATTTAAATATAAAAACATTTCCTAACTTCCTAATTTCTATTTGCAGTAACATTTCTTTTAAGTTTGCTTTTGTCGAATTTATAAGTAATCATAGTGTAACCACTATCTCAGTGTCATGGTTGTTTCAGAAGGGGAAAAAAGAGTGCTTCTTTCCTTCGAAAGTAAGGAGAAATACAATCAAAAAGCTTGTTAGTAATCAGTGTGAGCCTTTGGTAACAAGGCCAAAGTTTTTTTGTTAGAGTTCTGGGAAGAGCAGGTACAATATAACGTTTTTGTAGGCATAATTTATATACACACAAAAATTATTTTGATACAAATGATCAAAGCAATTAAAAAAAAGTTGAGCATTAATTAATATCAATTTTTGGTTGTATAATTTAGCTACTTATAAAAGGGCTGAAGAAAAGGTGACAAAAGCCTTGAGTCAATCAGACATTGGCTCAACTGAAAAAGATGCTCTCGTGCGCAAACAAACCTTAAAGACGAGTAAACGTGGGTAAGAAAACCTTGTTTTCTTTTATTTACATACAATCCGTAATTAAATTTCGATTTATTAGATAATTTTCAAACAATGTTTCTCATTTGTAAAGAATATATATATATATATATATATATATATATATATATATATATATATATATATATATATACAAATATATATATATATATATATATATATATATATATATATATATATATATTTGTATATATATATATATATATATATATATATATATATATATATATATATGTAACTCATTTGTACATAAAATATGTAATTTCAACAATTTTATTAAATTATATTCAGTCAGGTCAGGTTATCCTTACGTAAAGTAAGGTTATCTTGCTATTAGTAACATATAATCCAGTACAACCTGCTTCATTTTAACACTATGAAGGTCATTCTGTTGTAAAACATTGTTTCAACTCTTTTATAATGGCATTTATATGTCATTATGAAAAACCATCTAAACCACACAATTGTATAAAAATGTATATAAAACTTATCCAAACAAAAAACAAAATTAAATACTAATACCACTTTCCGTAAAATGGCAAATTTCTCGACTATATATATAATATTTTTACACTTTCAGGCGTTTCATTACTTCAAAGCAAATTTCTTCAGATTCTGATACTGACACTGAAGAATATCCTAGAAAAAAGTCAAATTTGCTGCAATTTCCCAGTCCACCTCCAAGAATAAATTTTAATGTTCACTATAATCCTTCAAGTTCTAAACCTGTTCAATTATTACAAATCACTCCTGGTCGTCCACCTTATACAACAAATTCTACTGCTCCTTTTTCTGTTAGACACGTTTCACCAGCCTTCTGCAGTACGCCTAGCTACTTGCTCAACCAGTCAGCATACACCATTGACTGCATACCAGTCAAGTGGGAGAGACAACCTGAAAGCAAGAAGTGATCATTATATAAATTCATGCAACAATGCAAATTTGTTGCCTGCTATGTACATTTTTTTGCTATCTTATTACTTGATGTACATATCTCTTTTTTTATTGAAAATTTCTATAACTGGTGTTTCTTGTTAAGTTTAAGAGTATTTCTATTTACATTATATACTTGAATTTAATTTATTGTTTTTGTTAGAAAGAAATTCCTGGTGCAAAAATACGATATCTGGAGATATCGTATTTTTGTCGAAAATACTGAAATTGGAGAGAAAGATGCAGGATGTTTATCAGACACCAATAACATTGCGACCACCGTAACTTGATCTGGACTCAATGACCACTACGAAGGTGAGGAAGGCAACCCTAATACTGAAAACTACATCGATGTCAAAAGCAAAGACTTTATTAACAAACAGAGAGGCTCAAACAAGGCGATGCCAGAAAAATTATCGAAATTTTGGACAAAGAAGAATTCCTTGAAGAGGTCCGGGAAGAAGTGGTTGCATCTTACAATAACATCGAAAGAACAAGTACATGTAATGAACTCAAATTAGACAATGCGGTTAGATTATATAGTGACGATATATTAAAACCTTTTACTGTAACGTTTTTAGACGCTTATTTAAATTAATAATATAACAATTAGGAATTGTTTCTTTGTAACGATAATTTAAAACGTGGGTTTGACATTTACTATATCATGTATTTAGGAAAAGAGTCCGAATCTGTGTGGTACAGCTATTCAACAGGTTAATGCGAAGCACTTTCACTCTGCTTTAAGACCCACAGCAAATGTGAATACTTCGACGGAAAGGAGTCAGAATTCAACGGCACCCTCCATAGGCACGCCATACTGGCCGTTTAATCTGCCGACAGATCAACCAGATTAACAGAGGTGGAGCAACTCAGCATCAGAAGGGCCTACTACAGAGCACGTAGACACGGCTGTACCGACATGCATCGAAGACGCTACGGGCACCAATGTAAATCGTGTGGAGCGAGAATTAAAATTATCAACGTTGCTACCCCTAACCACTACAAGAACGCCATTATCTACGTACTGGAACGTTATTAGGAATATAGCCGCACATATTGTTTTCAATCTAGACGATAACCAGCCAGTAAAAACACCACAAGATTCTACACGATCACACACAAAACACACATTTGCTAACTATTTATTTCACAATAAAATCACGAACAGCCGCCATTATGACGACGAATTATCTAAAAGGCCTGAGTTGCGACAACTAGAATTCACAATGCAGAATAAGGATTTCGAAATAGTGAAAAAGACCATATTCGGGCAAGTATATTTGCAGATACGACATAATTACGTCTTATCCCCAAGAGTTCAGATCTGTAACACATTTAAACTAATAATGTTATAAATAAAATAAAATATCAAAATATAAAAAAATAAAATAATTATGTAAAGAGGATTAATGTTCTTTCTATCGAATGCGGCATTACAGAACCAATTATTCGTTTATAGGCTAAGACAATTATTCTGCAATTTTCTTTTTAATTTAAACCACAAAACGAGAGGATTAATCTTATGCGGCCAAAGCGATTCAGGAAAAACGTTCTTGGGCAATTTGTTATATACTAAATTCTTACCACATGAAATAGGATACTTCAATTGCCCAACGGGACCAAATCCTTCACCGTTTCTCTTGCAAGCATTGAGTAATTCAATGGCATTATTCTTATGGGTGGAGACTTTAGACAAATACTTCCAGTTGTGAAAAGAGGTAGACCAGCTGAAGTTGTAGAACCATGTATAAAATGTTCTGAACATTGGCAGTATGTGCAAAGGTTTTCATTAACTGAAAATATGAATTTTCAGATAGGAGAAGAGGAATTTTCTCGATGGCATCTTAAGCTAAAGGATCTTCAGGCTTGTCAGGTAAAGTGGAACTTTACCTGTCAAGCCTGAAGATCCTTTGCGAGGGTGTATTGAAATACCTGAGCAGTGCTTTGTAAACGAATCTATTGTGGAAAAGATTTTGGTGGCGCAGATGAAACTGATTATGCTAACCGTGCTATTTTAACACCAACAAATGTTGATTCATTGGCAATAAATGAAGAAGTCCTTGATCGTTTACCTGGTGATAGTAAAATTTACTTAAGTTCAGATAGCATTGAAACTGATGATAGCGAAATTTATAATTCTCCAGTCGAGTTTTTAAATAGTTTGACTCCATCAGGTATGCCTGTTCATTGCCTAAAATTGAAAATTGGTGCTGTTGTAATGCTACTTAAAAATTTAGATCTTAAAGGTGGACTTTGTAATGGAACACGTTTGATAGTACGTGCACTGCACATCAATTATATTGATGGGGAGGTTCTAACAGGGCTAGCAGCTGGTAACAGGATCTTTGTTCCTCGAGTTCAATTAGCTCCATCGGATTCGAATTTACCTTTGAATCCGATGGAGCTAATTGAACTCGATGCAAAAAACCAGTCTTTGATACTGGTTACTTTTGGCTTCCAAATAAATATATGACCTTCTACGAACCAAATATATATCTTTTTAGCATTTTATTTACCATAATTGGTTAAAATTTTTTTTTGAATTACATTTCATCGTTGATTGTTAATAAATTTTGTAATAATAACTACGTAGTTGTTTCTTTTAGACTGTCTATTTTGAATCAGTGAAGTGATTTTGCAACGAACCATAAGTTGTGAAGTCTTTAACATTAAATCAAATATATATTCACAAAAAACATTTTGTTTTTTATATTTGTTTTTAAAAACATTTTTAAAAATTCAAAAACTTTTTAAGTCAAATAAAGATTTTTTTCTCGATTTTACAATTTTGGCTTAATAGTAATATAGCTATAAAAAGCGACAACGATAGTTTTTATTTGGCGATTTCTTAACACCCTCTCCCCTTGATTTTTGCTTGCAAAATTTTGTTACTAATTTGTGTTAAAAACAAGTTTTTTTACGGAACAAGTAAAGAGTTTTTTTCCTTCGTAAGTTTGATATAGTTTAATAAATGGTTAAAATCCTCTTTTTACTGTAGTTTTTTTTTTAAAAGGAGTCCTGGAGGAATTTTAGTCTAAATCTAATATATGAAATGGGGTAGGAATGTAAGTTGAATATAAAATTTCAACTAATACTTTTTACAAATCACCATAACGCAATTTAGTTATAACGTGGCTTAAAGTCAAATCAACATTTTTAAAAATCTGTTTTAATTTAAATATATGAAATGTTGATATAAATTTTAAGCTAATAGTGAAATGCTAATATGAATTTTAGTGATGCCTATTTTCAATTGTTATTTTTAAGGAGACTTGATAAGTAAAAATTAATAAACGAGGGTTCGTGTGGCTTAGTAAGTTTGGAGTGGGTATAAATATTTTTCTCAAAAAAAGCGTCTCCCCCCTATCCTTTAGGATATGAGAGTCACCATTAAATTTTGACATAAGTTGTAAGAAGTGTCTCGCAAATGCCATTTATGTTACAGTTTGTGTTTACGCAATCAATAAGTTTAATCTTCGCATCTAGGACATTAAAAGATGTCTCTAGATATCATTTAGATGTTTTTATTTGATTGAGATTTTCTTGCGTTATAAACCGGATAAGAGTTTTTATGAACTGTAAGCATTATTGATGTTTGATATAGACACAAAACTATTTAATATTTTTAAATTAGACACTTTATATAACCCCACCATTTACCAATCAATAAATTAGAAACAAAAAATTATGTGACTCTAATATCTTTTTCATTTTCATATGATATTTACAACAAAATTTAAACGTATATATATATTTTTTTAAAAATTCTAAACTTTAGTGATTATATATATGCTGTACATTCACTTTATTTACAAGTTTGTTCACAAAACATAATATTGGTTCACGAAACATAATTTAAACGACCGTGCAGGACCATTAGGAAACATAAATTTTACATTACCATTTATTTAATTTTCTTTTATTTAGTTATTTTTTCTGTAGCATCAACCTCCCCAGGTTAATTTATACATTTAATTTTTAACAATAATAAATGTTTTTTATCATCATGCTTAAATAAATCATCTTTATTGATTTATTCAATCCATTTAGTTGTGTCATCTGCAGCATCGACCGTCCCAAGTAGCAATACATTTATTTTGATTTTTTTCTTGAAAAACTTGCATTAAAAATTTTTTATTGGAACATTATCTTCAGGATTTAACAATATATATATATATATATATATATATATATATATATATATATATATATATATTTTTCATTAAGTTGTTTTAACTGCTTCATCCGCTACTTCTGGTAACTTGATACATTTTTTTTTTGATTTGTTACTTGAAAAATATTTTATTTCGATTTGTTACTTAAAAAAAGATAAGTAATAAATATTGTTAATTTGAACATAATAATCAGAATTAAATTGCCTTTTTTAATTATGTTTTTTATTTACCTGTTTCATCGGCATCATTATTCTTTTCAAGTAACTAATTTTTTATCTTTTTTTTTATTTTTTGCTTGGGTCAAACATTTTCAAATCTTTATATTAGCATGTCAATCTTTTTAGATATCAATAAATATCAAGTAAGTTGTATTAGTATTCAGTTTTCACTTTTTGCTTTTATTAAATAACAAATTAAATAAAAAGTTTCTTTTATATATTTCAGTTCTAAGGCAACAGATAGGTAAGCAAAAATATATCATATGTTTTTATCTCTTAAAAACTTGGTAGGTTGTTACAGTTAAGGATGCTACTTTAATTGTGGTTGCAACTTTTTCTCAACTTAAAATTAAAATTTTGAAACACAAACATTGTAAAACAAGGCTGCTGTGCTAAGAAACAAGTTAAGTGCTACCACTAAGAATCGAGTCAAGCACTGCCAGGTACATTTGAACTTATAACTACTCTACCAATATGTACAACAACCATGTAAAGTAATAATATTTACCAATAAATAAAACAATGTACTTACCAATATATAAAATTATATATTTACTAATATATATCTTATGATGAATATTCTAAAATATATTATTCAAGATATTTTAAAGAAATTATATTAAATTTTCAAGTTTTTATTTTTTAAGTTCTTTTGAAAAGGCGAGATGGTAAGTTGTACATATTGTTTCCATATTTTTAAAGGATAATGCATTTTCATTTTACTTAACGATATTTTTAACATTTTAAATATATAGCTTTGTTAAATGTGTTAGGAAAAAAAATTCAAATGTTTGTTTAATAGTTTTTTTATCTAGATGAATTGTTAACAAACAAATCTTTTAATGGTGAAATTTTATAATGTTTTTTCTAAATGCTTTTATTTATCTTTTAGCATGGAAGACCAATCTGTAGATATATGTTTGTAATGTTTAGGAATATAAGCTAAAGCCCTAAACGGTAATTCTAAATTAATACTTACAATAATATTATCTGCTTTAATGAAGTAAAGACTTGACTATAAATAAAAGAATTAAGAAAAATGATGGAGAACATTTTCTTTATTCTAATTTTGCTCCTTCAGTTAAATTTATTAAAGTATAAATTAATTTTTAGATATATATAATTACAAGTGTTATTGAGTTATCAAGTCTGGTCCTTTGACCCAAAAACCTATTTCGAAGATGGGTGCCATCATTTAGATAGGGTGGTCAATACTCTCTATACAAGGGTCGAAGGACCGGGGAATAATATATATATACAATAATAAAAAACTTTCATGTCTACAATTGAAATATTAGTGTAAAAAAATGAAAGTTTTTATAAATGTGCGTGTATATATATATATATATATATATATATATATATATATATATATATATATATATATATGCACACATATGTATAACGTTTAAATGTGTTTTATATAAGGTTTTTATTTTTATTACATGTTTAACTATATCATGTAAATAAATTTGTTTTAAAGATATGTAAACGTTAGACTTGCTTTTTTACCGATTTTTTAAAAGGTTTACACAAATTTAAATCAACATATATATATTTTTACAACTGTTTTATATGGTTTTAACATCTGTTTTATAACCTTTTTAGCTCATTAGGCTTTGAAAACCTTTTTAGCTCATTAGGCGTCCATAAAATACTCTGAGGGGTAGAGGGGATCTGCAAATGGCGATTATGGCATGAAAGGGCTGTGCGTCAATTATAAAAGAAAAGAGACACTAAATAAAATTAAAAATCATTAAATGTAGGGTAGGTAGGTTTAAAGTTTGTATTCGCGTAAGTTAAGTAAGTCATCTAAATTAATTTAGCTAAATAAAAGTTTTGTATTCGGTTAAAGCGTAACAACTACTTCAAGAATGTCGATTAAAAGCAATTGTTTTTTCATCAATCATCAAAATTTATTTCACTTGACTTATACAAAATATAATAAAAAGGTAAGACAAACTCAAGGCGAAATATATTCGCAACTTTCGCTAAATATTTACTGCGTTAGTATAAATTTGGATGGGATAAATACTAAAATAAATATATGTTAATATACGTTAACTAATATAGAAATAATAGATTTATTTGCTTACCGTATTTTGCAAGCTAAAGTAATAAGCATTAATATTATGGGAGCCGTATACAGTGACACGTTTTTACCGTAATTTCTGATATATTTTTCAAGTTATAGTCTTTCCGGATATCCAAAACAATTTTTATACATTGAAATTTAAGTACAATTTTGTGATATTTGTTTTTTAAGCTTTTCACTCATCACTTTTATAAAAAATAAGATATTGTTTATAATTCTTTTTGTAAAAAAGAATTATAAACAACCTAGTTACCTTAACAATTTTTCGCAATTTTAATATACGACATGGATAATTTTCTATGCATATTATTTAAGTCATAATATATTTAGTTAGTTGTGATTAGCGGAAAATGTTCAAACATTTCGAAATAAATGGTTTATTGTATCTTTAAATGAAGCTAAGAGTTATATTAAGGAGCTGAGAACAATAAAAGTGAGCAGAACTACAATACTGTATTATAAAATACTATATCTAAAAACTTTCTGTATTGAACTAACTGTGATATCGTTAACATTAACTATTATTGTTAACAATAATCATTAATAAAAACGATAATCGATAATCATTTTTTAAATAATCCTACTGTTCTTCGAAGTATGAGGTTGGTAGAATCCTACTGTTCTTCTAAGTATGAGGTTGGTAGAATAAGTAAGCATATTTTATCAGGTATTAACACCAACCTTAGAAATATTTTGCGATTAAATCAGTGGAATAGTACACAAATAGTAAAAAGTTGATTCAAAGACATCAATGACAAACATTTTTATAAATTCCTTATTTTTGACATCGTTGACTTTAACCCTTCTAATAATAAAAAGCTACTTATCGGTTCCATAAAATTTGCAGAACAATACGTTTTCTTTAATGTTGATCATAAATCTTTAATTTCCATGCGCGTAAATCTTTATTATTTACCATGACTAAGTTTTGATTAAAAAATTACGTGGTTTGTTTAATGTTACCATGGGTGCATTTGATGGAGCAGAGGTGTGCGAATTAGTTGGTATTTTTCTTCTTTTCCAGATTTCGCAATGTTATAACAAAACTGATTTTGGATTATATAGAGACAATGGCTTAGCCGTATTTAAAAACACAAGCGGTCTAAAATAGAAAAAATTAAGAAGCATTTTACTCAAATATTAAAACAAAACAACCTCAGTATTTCCATTCAATTTAATAAGAAAATTGTTAATTAGCTTGATGTTACATTTAATCTTAATAACAACACTTTTCAACCTTACCATAAACCTGATAGTACGTTAAATTATATCCATGCTAATTCCAACCATCCACAAAGCATTTTAAAACAATTATCAATCTCAATTGGTTATCTTCCAATTCTTTAAGCGAAAAAATATTCCAAAAGACTTCTCCAATTTATAATGACGCATTAGAAAAGTCTAATGCGTCATTATAACTTTTAAATAAATTTCTAACTGCACACCATTCTCCAATATCTTTTAAATCTAAAATTTTCCATTACTAATAAATGAAAAAGAAATATTATATGGTTTAACCCTCCTTACAGTAAAATGTAATAACAATAATTGGACACCTTTTCTTAAACTGAATTGACTTGCATTTTTTCTATTACGTCATAAGCTCCACATAATATTCAACAGAAACTCAATAAAAATTAGTTACAGCTGCATGCTAAATATTCGATTAATAATTAATTCACACAACTAACCAATTTTGCGCAACAAACTTACCGATAATAATATACTGCAACTGCATTAATAAAACCACACGCCCGTTAAATAATCAATGTTTATCAAAAAATATTGTATATAAAACCACTTTAGAATCACCTAATACCAGTCTTACCAAATAATCCTACATCGGAATTAGTGAAAACACATTCAAGCTCAGATTTGCAAACCATATTGAATCATTTAATGCAACCAGATTTACGAATGATACGGAATTTTTTAAGGAAATCTGGAAACTTAAAGACGCGGGTGACATGCCTATAAATAAGTGGAACATAATTAAAAGATTCCAATCTTTAAACCCATCGACAAAAAAGTGTAAACTTTTTATCAATGAAAAGTATTTTATTATGACTTTTGATAGTCGACTACTACTTAACAAAAAAAGTGAATTGGTTTCTGCTTGTAGGCATAGTAAAAAATTTTTGATATTGATATTGAGCACTCTTAAACAGACAAGAGTTGTATTTCCAGCAGTATACAACATTTATCAATATATATATATATATATATATATATATATATATATATATATATATATATATATATATATATATATTTGTATATATACATTTAGGAACAATGATGTTGATGATTATATCATTATTGTTTACTATAATATCATTAATAACTTAATACAGTCTAAAGTCTTATGTAAATACTTTACAATGGCATACTTTACAATTACTTTTACACTGTTTAATATTTGAGTTTACTTTTTGAGACAATAATATATTTATGTTTTTAAAAACATTGTTAGTAAGTGTCAAATCAATCGTAACACCGATGGTGAATGATATATTGGTGTATTTGATGAAAATGAAACGGTAACACCAGAAAATAGTAAAAAGTTTTTAAAATTAACTATAACTATAGGTAATCATAAGACAATTAAAATGCTTCAGCAATCCAACTGTTGTTTTAAAAAAAGGATTAATGACTCCATTTATTCCTTTGTTGCTTTAAATCAAAAAGTATGCATCATATGATGAACCAAAATCATGAATCATACTATGATTTTTGACTGGTATAATATATTTTTTATTAAGAGTATTTGTGTATAGTTGTGTATATTTGAGTATATTTGTGACTTTTTAATTTATCTGTCTGTTTTGTCTATTTCAAATATTGATTACTTATTTAAGTTATAACTTTGGAATTATTTTGTTTTAGTCCACCTACTGTTGAAATATGATTTTTGTTTAAGTCCACCTACTGTTGAAATGTGATAAATAAGTAAGTTATTATTATTAAAAACTAACTACATTAATCATCATATAAGGAAAATTTTAGGCCATCACAATTACGGTAGGAATAGTGATGTTTTTGTCGTAACAGTAATAAATAATGTTATGATTGTAATGCTATTGTGATAATTTCATCTACTTCTTGATAACCCAATCAATGATGCCTTATTTTGCTTGATTGGGTTCTCAAGTATAAGTATGATGATGTAACTTAAAATGTATTTATTTAATCTATTTAATTTTAAAGAGCTATGTCTAAAAATCAGTTGTTTTGCCTTAAAGCTAAATATTAAGGCCTTGTCCTTGAAAATTTTGGCCTTGGCTTTCAAAAAAGTTACATAAAATTGAAGAATTAAAAGATTTTATTCTTTATTTTATGTATTTTTGTTTATGGCTTCATACATATCTACATGTATATTTTTTTATTGACTTGTGTTGTCACAGCAATTGTTACCCACAGTTTTGTCAATAATTAGCCTTAAAGTTAGGCAACAATTTCAGATCTTTGAGCTTGAAAATGTTTGCGTAGGCCTTGGTCTTGAAACTCTTATTCTTAGCCTTGTAATTTTTGGCATTGGTCTTGGTCTTAGCCTTAACATGTGGCCTCATGTGGCCTTGCTTTTAGCCTTGTTACTTTTAGCCTTGTCAACAACCTTGCTTTAACATTATATATTTATTCTCCTAAAGCATATAGTTATGTTAGAAATACATTGAATAATGCACTTCTTCATCCAGGAATTATACAAAAATGGTATGAAAGTGTTAACTGTTCCACTGGATTTTGTAAGAAGCTTTAGTTACTCTTCATTACAAAGTTAAAGAGGCTCAAAAAATCGGTCAACGTGTTGTGAGTTTATATATGTTAGATGAAATAGTCATTAGATAAAAAATTTAATTGACAGGTCATAAATGTTCTGGTTAAACTAATTTTTGTGCTAATGTGAATAAAGATAATTAATCCAAAACTGGACGTTGGAAACTTCCTGTTATATATTTTTTATTTGATGGTTTAGGTGATTGTGAAAGAGCTAATATTGTTAAGCGTTGTATGCAATTTATTTATGCAAGTGGTGCTAAATTTATATTTTTATTGCTAAATATTTAAAAATAAGATTGTACCATAAAGCTGACTCGATCAACAATTTACTACTTAATAAACGTATGCAAAGTGTATTAACAAAGCAAATTTTATTCTCGAATCAATAAAAACTTTTTTTGTATATTAATGTAATGGATATTAAAACACATTTAATTGTATTAACTGTTACGCTTTCTATTCTAAGAAATCTAAAAATGCTTTAAAACAATAATTGATACAATATATATATGAGAAACAGACAAATAACCGAAAAACAAAATCCGATTTATAGCCGAATGAACAAATTCCGTAATATAGTCGAAAAAAAATAAGATTTTGGCACGTTCTACAAACAGTCGACGAAAAACACGATTTTGACGTAGTCTGTGATATAGTCGAATGACGTATTTTGTTTTTAAACGAACTATGACGAGATTTGACAACTACCCGAATTGATAATTTTGTCAAATACAGTCAAATAATCGAAATAAAACCTGTTCCGATAACCAGTCGAATTTGTGTATTGTCATAAATCATTTCTAACCGAATTTATTTGGACAAACATTTATAAATCGTCGAAAAATGAAATTCGACTATTTGTCATGACGTGTTCTGATAAATAATTGAACTGTTTCAAGTCTGTTAACCAGTCGAATTTAATATTCGGCTATTCTCTGTGGCTGCCACATAAACCAGTCGACGGCTATAAAAATTTGGCAGCGTCATCAAAAGAGCCGAATTTAATTAAACCCCTCCAAACCATCGTATTTCGACTATAACTTGTACGTATTTTGAGAATATTCACGATCCTAAACCTTTGTAAAAAAATAAGACGTGATTGACAGTTAAAACAAATGTTTGTATTTCAAAAAAAACCTCAACATGATGAGGAAAAAAATTTGATTATCACAAGAGTCTCATTCTCATACGTATATAAAAAAAAACCTCATTCCGAAATGAGGAAAAAAAGTTCACGGGTCTCATACTTTCTCATACTTCACAAAGGTCTCATACGTATACAAAAAAAACCTCAGAAATGAGGAAAAAAAATTCCAAGGGTCTCATTCACTTCATTCACACATGCATGCATCTTGTATCTGTTGTTTTACCCGTTCCAGAACGAATATCCTCCATCCTGATTATCGAATCCAGACACGAACAAACGATCGGGCACCTCAAATTGTCGACACGATTTAGACCTGAAATATTTAGGAAAAGTTGTTTAATTGTTATGTAACTAACTAAAGATGCAAACGTTTAAACGCAATATTACTTTTTTTAAATGTTCAATTACTGTAATACTGTAATATTGACTACTAATGTAATTAGAAGATAGAACGTTGTACGTTACCTCAACCAATTAAAGTCTGGATGACGATTAGACGTTTCCAGGTCCAATCGAGCGGGTCCAATCGAACGCGTTGAATGATGATCTGAAACCGAATTTTAAAAGTATTAAGTTTTAGAATATTGGTTCAGAGATACACGGGACCCATGTAAACAGTGTCTATTCACAAAATGTCTTCAGTATTAATAACTGGTAGTATTTACCTCTTATTTTTTTTGATTTTTCATTAGAAGAAGGAGGTAGAAGTGAGCCACAGTGAAGTGAAGATCCGGATTAGCCTGCAACAAAATAATGTAAAATTCTACCAATCCGATTGATGATAAGCATTATAACACGAACAAAGAATCAAAGAAAAACCATCAAGTAATACTAAATTGCAACTAATAAGTATGATGATTATAGTTAAACCAAAAAGTTTGATGAATAACATTATAAGATCGTGAATATTATCTCAATCTTTGAAAATTTCTATCAAATTATGTTAAAAATTACCGGTTAAAATGTTGTAGAGCGTGCGTACTGCGGCTTTGCCAATTATTTTTCCGTACACCATTGGCAGTATCATTATCCGTTGGCAGTATCGATTTCGAAATGAAAACATTAAAAAGTGGGCGTTTTAAATTAAATTTAGAAATCGAACAAATCATGTGTTGCAAAACTATCTGTTCCAATAGCTCGGTTATAAGCTTGAGCAGGTTTTTCAAAACATTCTTTTAACGGTTCGCTATAATTGGCTATTATTTTTGTGTTTTCAATACATTCGTTTTTAACTGTACATGTTACAGTTTTCATGAACGGCCATTTTAAAGAATGATCTTTTGGAGACTGTATTAATTGAAAATAAATACCCATTTTATCTTCTTGATTACTATAACCAAAAATTTTAAATCGATAGAAATAACCATCTACAGTATAAGAAGGTTGAGTATGATAAGATTCGTTAGATTGCAATCTTAAATCCATTTGGTCCAATTCTATAATTAAATTATCAGACATGAATTTGTCGTTGATATCTTTATTATAATTTAATATATTATCATATAGTTTCAATTCTTTTTCAAATGTGTTTTTATTTACAAATTCTTTCATTTCCAAGCTGATGTTGTTCAATACTTTTTCAAATGTGTTTTTATTTACAAATTCTTTCATTTCCAAGCCCATGTTGTCCATTCGTTTAGTTAATGCGTTAATTTGTTTGTTGACAGCTTCTAAACTGTTTAGAATGTTATTAGTAGTCATGTCTAAAAAAGTTAAACTTTGTTTTTAATCCATAATAATATTTTTTTGTTTCTCCATTATTTCTTTCCATTCATTTTCAAATCGATGTAAACAATCAATAACGTGTTGATCATAGTAGTTTTTTTGAATTTGATTTCCACAAAATGCACATAATTTAGTTTGATTTCTTTCTACGTGTTCCTCGTGATAAATTTCACATTCATGTTCCCAAGTATCTGTCAATTTAATTTTTTTTCCACAGCTATAACAATCATAATCTTGTGATGTGTTACATTTTAGTTGATGATTAAGTAATTGATCAATAGTAAAGGGTAACTTGCAATAATAACATAATTCTTTTTCCATAGCTTCAGCCATTTTTTTTGTATAATTAGTTGCTAAAAAAAGTATTAAAAGTATTAAAAAATGTTATGGCTAATATTATGTGATATTACGGGTAAAATTATAGACAAATAGAGTCAACATATTATAAAAAAACAATATGAAAAATAAACTATTTATTATTAAAAGCAAAAAATACAAGTTATCATAAATTTATAATAAATTTTTTTCAATGTATATAATCGATTGCAATGACATTTGCTCAGTAAAATATGTTACAATGTTATGAATACGAAATTGCTTTATTTATTGAATAGAAAAAGTAATCTCATATTCATAATAATTGTAAACAAAAGTCTTTCCATTGTTTTTTTATACCTTTAGTTTCGGCTACCCTTAGATTTAAATAAATTTTTAAGGATAGTCTAAACTAAAGGAACATTAAAAAAGTTCCATTCCGTTCATTAGTTTTTTTATTTTTTATACCTTTAGTTTTGGCTGCATTAAGAAAATAAATTTCTTAATACACTCAAAACTAAAGGGACATTAAAAATAAAAAAATACAAAATATTTTGAAAAAAGTCAATTGTCTATTTCCATAGGTTCGTTTTCTCCATTATCATCGTTTTCTCCATAATCATCATCATTGTCATTATCATATTCATTAACCATTTCATCGACATCCTCATCGTCTTCATTATAATCATCTTCATCATCGTCTTCATAATAACTCTTCTTTTATAACTCTTAAACTTCTTAATAACTCTTCATAATTACTCTTCTTTTTCATCAATAATATCGATGTTTTTCAAATTGAATAAAGAGTCGCCATCTACAAACATGGCCTCGTATGGTTTAACAAATTCTATTTGTGCAGATGGTTTGCCATATTTGTAGATGGCCTTATTTACATCGGCGTAAATGGTTTCCATTTGGCTTTCCATTTTTTGTTTTTTTTAGTTAATCTTAAAAAATTACAACATGTAATATAAAAAACTAATATTCCATGGGTTCAATAATACAGTTTTTAACTTTAATAATCAATTCGTTTAAATTGTTTATTAATTTAAAATTATTTTTTTGTTGTTCGTTAATCAACCATCTTTGTAATGTTTTTAATATAAATTGCGGATTAAATTTTTCTTCTGGATTAACTTGAAAAAATAGCGTAATGACTTGACATATTTTTAAATAACTTCTATTGTAGTCGTTGTCAATGGCATGAATAACACAGGGATGCATGTTTAAATAATTAGCAAATTGTTGCCAATAGGCTTCAAGATAGAATGACAAGATATTTGTTAATTCATTTTCACTCATTTTATTTTATATAATTAAATCTGTAAAAAATTAAAAAAAATGATATTATATAAATATATATTTTTTAACAACAAAAAAAAATATTAAAAAAATGCCTCGCACAAGATATACACCTAGATCAAAAAAAACTGAAGATAATTATTTAAATAATCAAATTGATTTTGTACGTACTACAACAAACTCGAAACATACGCAAACAGAAAATAGAGGGATACCAAGCAATTGTAAAAATATATTAGTAAGTTTACGAAAAACTAAAAAAACATAAAGATAACAAATCTAATCGTAAATTAGGTCGCGTTGGTAAAAAAATAAAACGATGGAAAATATCAAACGAAGCTTACGTTAATCGAAAACACGAAAGAAATGCAGCGTTAAAAAAAAGAAAAAAGAAATAAACAATATATTTTATTATAGTAAAAAAAACTAGTTAACATCTTTGATTTATAAAATCAATCCCTTCTTGGATTTTTTTTTGTAAAAATTTCATTTTTCGAGCTTTATTTCGATTTAATTTGTGTTTGCTCTTTTTCTAAAAAAATAAATAAATTAAAAAAATTATTCTTTTTTTTTAAAAAAAAGTAAAAAAAAAAGAATAATTTTATTATATAAAAAATATTACTTTTTTATTAACTTGTAAATGTACATTTTCTTTGTCTGTACGTTTCTCTATTATTTTTTTTTCAATTTGATTTTGTGTTTTATCATTTAACACTTTCATGAACTCGTCGGCGGTTAGGTCGATTTGAGAGAACACAATCTCTTGGTCGTCTTTTATTACGATAGTTTCAGGAATATCTTTATTTTCCCACATTTTTTTTCTGCAAACAACTTTAGTGATTGCCATTTGATTTTTGGTATAAAAAAATACATCTTTTATACTAAAATATTTAATCTCTATAGATTAAGTAAAATAATAGATTTTTGTGACAAACAAGATATATTTAGAAACTTTTAATCTTACTTTTTACGTAGGATTATATAGGGAATTTCTCAGGGAATTTCCCTTAAAATGTGCGTAAACAACTTTAAAAAAATCTCTGTGTAGAAAAAAATCTCTACGTAAAGTGTTATAATGACAATTTAAATGAATTCAAAACACGCTTAAACAACACGTCGACGTAGCATAGTGCATCGTATCATTTCCGCACTATGTTGTAAACCGCCATGAACCGATCGTCCAGGGTTCGAATCTCTCTATAAATTTACGGCTTTAACATTACGGCTTTAACATAAACACATTGAGCGAACGCTTGATGACGTATGTCTAGATAGTTTAGTTAGTTATATGTTAATCACATTGAGTTACGGTGTTACTACTGTTACTTGATGACTGTCCCCACTGAGAGCTCATACTTTCGGTGAGTCCTATATGTGAACCACATTGAGTATCATTGATACTTGATGATTGTACCCCACTGAGAAGCATACTCTCGGTTAGTCCTGAGCGTGTGTGAACGAGCGTGTATGTACGAACAGGTGAGCAGGCATAAGTAAGGCAAAAATAATAGACTAAGTAAGTAAGGTTAAGTAAGTAAGTAAGATACAAACAACCGGTTGTAAAAAAAACAATAGAGTAAAAATAATAAGTAGGCCTACTAAGAAAAACAAAACAAGTTAGGTAAGGCAGGTTAAGTAAGGAGAGTGTCGGGTGACACAAAATGTTTTTTAAAAAATTTATAAGTTTTTTTTAAAGTTTTTTACATAATAAAAAAATGAGAAGGGGACTCAGACGTAATAAACATGCGAAAAGATATATTTTTATAAACAAAAAATCAAAACCGAATGCACGTTTAAACAATTATGATGGGTGGAGGTAAAAATAATATGTTGGTTAAAAAATGTGTCTTAGTAAATAATTTATATTTTAATAACGTAATTTTTTAAGGTAAAAAAACATGTAAACGTTTACATGTTTGACATATATTTAAATAAAAAATATGAATTTTTTAATAAAGGTAAAAAATACCGTGGCGGTAACGTTTTTAGAAGATTAAGAGGCGGTTTAAGTAATCCATTCGCTGATCCTGTGAACAAGTTATTTAAACAACTTATAAACTTTAAAAATAATTTAGTTTAAAAAAGAATGTTATTAGATGATGGTTGTTTGTTTAAACATAGTTATTGTGAACATGCTAATAAAAGATATCACAGAAAAGAACATTGTATCAGTTGTTATACTAACGCATACGTTAATATTATTAAAGATGATCTAGAGTTTTATAAATTATTACTTGAAGATATGGGTGAATACTCTTTAAATAACATAAGAGCCGATGTAACAAGTTATGACGAATATATATTAACTTTTAAATATTTTAATGATTATCTATGTCAAATAATAAGTGGAAATAAAAAAGAAGGACATACAGATATTTCTACTTTTTTAGGAGGATTTGTTATTGATTATAAAGTACGTTCTGGTTTATATACTAATAGACATGTAAATAAAGGCGATATATATATATTGGTTATGAATTACCTATAACAAAATAATATATTTAATACTGTTTATTTTTTATTTTTTTAAAAGGGTATATATAAAAGAATAAACAAATGTTTATTTTAAAAAAAATTTTTAGTTTTTTAAAAAAAATGGACGTAACTGCTTTTAAAGAACCTCTTTTACAATTTTGTAATGTTAAAGATTTGGAAAATTTACAAACAAACGAGTTTGAAAGATGTAAATGGTAATTTCAAGTTATTTTTTCGCTTGGACGGTAGCAATCAAATAAAAGTAACTCGTTCAAACGATATAGCTAACATTGATTTTATATTCGAAGAATTTGGTATGAGTCTTAAAAAAGTATTTAGTATGAAGTATGATGATTTTGTATCAGTTATAAAGGATTCATTATCAATATGGTTGTTAGAAGAATGCGAATAAAAAAAAGACGTGCTCGTAAAGTTAAACGAAAACAACGCGCTCGTGGTTTATCAGACTATGTTACACCTCAAAATGTAACTAATGTTTTAAAAGTGGGTTTATTATTATACAGTTTAAAAAAAGCATGGAAAGGGAAAAAATCAACACCTGCTGTAACAACAAAAACAGTTGCAATTCAACCACCCGTAAATTTATATAAACCAGCGGATAAAAGTTTTGAAGTATATTAAATAAAATTAATGTAAAAAAACATTTATTTTTTAAATAAAATTAAAATACAATGTAAAATTTATTTTCTTTTCTTGTGTCTTGTGTTTTTTTTATAAAAGTTTTTTTTTTCCTTTACACACATCACATAGTAGTTTATTTGTTTTTATTTCGAATTTTGTTTATGTAGAAGCCAAACTTCATTGTTAAAAACGGTGCTCGTACATTCTTTTAAATAATTTATCAATTTCGGATCTTGCAAATTAACGACATATAATAGTCCGTTTTCAGCGCACGATTCACAAATTTCTTCTATAACTTTTTCTCGAATTTTGCATAAAGCTGCTTTCTGTATACTTGTTGACATTTTATTATATTAAATTTTGAACAAAGAGAGTTTTTATTTCTTTTTTTGTCATGACATCATCTTGAGGTACGTCAATAAAATTATTTATATCTTTTAATCTTCTGTAATCGAAAAAATACATATCGTTCATATTTTCGTAACGTTTTAAAGCAAGGTTTTCTTCGTTCATAACATCTCAAAAAGCATTGATATCTTGAATAGATATTTTATCCCATTGACATTCATTGTTAGTTCTTCATAATCTAGCATCGTTTA